ACCTTTTCACCCAATTATGGATGTTCCCAAAACCCTCAATTGTTTGGTTTTCAAAGGGTTTCCCAAACAACACATCAGGAAGGTTTTCAACTCGGTGACGCATTGAAACACCATCCAATCGAGGAGGGGGACTGCCTAATTCAACTCGACCCTTCAAGAAATTACTCTGATCAAATCTGAAACAATGTGATTCTGGTAAAAACTGACGATGACAATAAAAAAAACATGGTTTCCAACCATTTTGAAGATAAAAAGATTGTGTCATCCCCGTACAGTAAGGATATGACAATTGGCCATGAGTGCTCCAACCAGCCACCATACCATAACTCGGAAAATCAGTTATGGTTCACATCAACATAGCCCGCATTATAAAGTTTTGCGTACGATAACTATCATATGTTTCTACACTAGTCGACCATAACATTTTCAAGTCTTCAATTAAAGGTCGAAGGAAAACATCAATATTTTTGCCTAGGCTTTTTGGACCAGCAATGACCAATGTAAGAAAAGTAAACTCTGGTCGCATGCACATCTCTGGTGGTAAATTATAAACAATTAAAAAAATTGACCAACAAGAGTAGGAGGTTGAAGAATGAGCCCATGGGTTGAAACCATCAGTAGCAAGACCTAATCAAACATTACGAGGTTCTCTTTTAAAAGAAGGATGTATTTGATCAAAATGTCTCCATGCTTCTGATTGTGCTTGATGAATGACCTCATCCGTATCACCACAACATTTCAAATGCCATGTCATGTGCTCAGCTATTTTTCGAGACATGTATAGCTTCTGAAGGCGAGGTATTATTGGCAAGTACCAAAGAGAATTCCTCGGAATGTCCTTTTGTCTATTCCTCCCTGGATTTCTCTGTTTATAGCTCACTTCTCCACAGATTGAACATGTAGTCAATGTTTTCGTATGCTCCCCATAGTATAAAAAGCAGTTATTAACACAAGCATAAATTTTTAGATAACCTAATCCAAGCCCCTTCATATATTTTTTTACTTCATAAAAGTTTGAAGAAACTTTTTCTTGATCTTCAGCACTTAACAACCTTCTACATCCTTTGAGAATGGCATTAAAACCATTAGCAGTTATATTATTTGCAGTCTTTGTATGCAACATATAAGAAAGCCAGCTAAGCATTGTCTCATTTCTTTTAGCACTACCAAGGGGAATTGTAGATGCATGAAGCAAGTCATAAAATGCCTTTGCTTGATTGTTTGGTTCCTCGTCCAGATGTTGATTGGGGAAATTACCTTCCATTTCCCGATTATCATCATCCTCTAGACAAAATGCATCATACACCATTTCACGAAAGTCATTCCTTTTCATCATGGTGTGTATCTTGGCTATGTGATGATTCTCCTAGATTGGTAGCAGACCATGGATCTACTAAATCCACAAATGTCTCGCCATGTGCCCACCAAACAGAATAAGCATTCATAAAACCATACTTAGTAAGATGGTCCCATACCCTTTCCCGAGTCATCAACGGTAAATTAAAACATTCAGTATAAGGACATCTGACTAAATCATTCAGTTGAAGACCAAGGCTATTGTACGCAAATTGAAGGAAATATTCAACTCCACTATAGAACTCATTATATATCTCTCCTCATGGAGTTCGATGCCTATACATCCAACTACGATCCTCCATAATCTTATTAAATCAATAAAATAAAATTAATAACATGATTAGTTTCAAAATAATTATGATATCTTTCACATATTTTCTAGTTGGTTAAAATCCTAATTTATCATATATATACACATATATATATATAAATTTGTTAAATTTAATCATCAACAAAATTTATCATACACAAATGATTGATTTTTTATTTAATAAAAAAATTAATATTTAACTATACAATTATAAAAATATAGTGAAAATAAAACTTACTTTGTAATT